AAGGTAATCTGGTGTTGAAGGATGGTCAGGAAATCTCTCCCCGAGGAAGTGAAATCTGCAGGAGGGGTGGACGGGAGTTAGCCAGGTGAAGAGGGATGGTTGAGTATTCCAGACAGAAAGATCAACCTCTGTGAACTCCAAGCGGTGGGAAAGAACATGACATACACAGGGAACTGAAAGAAGCCATTGGGGCAAGAAGTGAGCGGTGGGAGAAGGCACCAGAAGGTCAAAGGGGTCAGATGACACTGGATATTATATTCCGACATCCTCATTTCAGTGCTTACCACATCCCGCCTTGGAGTGTTTTACAATTTTTTTGTGTGGGGGAGGGGGTGCCATGCGTGTTTTGCTTCTCCTTATGCTCCCTTGGGAGGAGATCCTCGATTCAAGTCCTTTTATATTCTCCACACTAGGCAGCACAAGGCTGGGCACATAGTAGAGGCTCAGTAAATAAATTAAGTGGATGTAATGAGTAATGAAATTGATAGAAGCACTCTTACTTGTCTAAATTAGGGGCTGACCCAATCTTGGTGGATGAGCGTCTCCTGGAGGCTTTAAAAGGTGAGAACTTTTGGTAGTGTGATGCCACCTAGTGTTCCTTTTTATTACAACAACAAAGGGGAACAGGGTCTTCAGGAATCTGGAAAATTGGAAATGAAGCACTTTCTTTCATCAGCATACATTAATTTGTCCAACCACCCATCCTCTCATCCATTAATCCATCCAAGTCGATGTCACTTGCATCTCTTTCCTGTGAGTTGAACGTGTCATGTTCCTTTCCACCTCCTGTGGTTCCCTGATTTCCTTTGTTAAGGTCTTTTTGTCCTCATATTCTAAATAATGCTCTCAGGTATCAGTGTCTAGACTGACCCAGCACCCATAGTGCTCGCTGTTGGCATGGCATGTTCTAAATTATGCCATCATATTGTGTTGGGATTACTTGTAGATGGTCTTTTCTCTTTCCCCGAAAGCCAGATTGTGAATGCAAAGGGCAGTGACTCTGTCTTAGTTGGCTCTGTGGTTCCTCTGGCCAGCCTTGTACTTACAATGCAGCAGGTGCTTTAAAGAAGTGTTTTCTGGATTGAATTTCTGTCACCTTGGCAGGCCATCTGCTTGCAAAATAATCCTTCAGAAGATTCTTGGGAAATGGGAAGACATATAGCACTACAACTGATACCAATACAAGATATGGGTGGCCAGGGCCCTCTAGGTCTTTCTCTGTTATGTACCTTCAGGAATGTTATGGAGTCTCTCTGGATCATGATGGTATACCACCTGTTAGTCCCAGCGTGTGATTGGATCTCCTGTAAACACACAAAGTAGCCTGAGCCCTGTTGCCTACCCTGTGTTCTCATTTCCATTAGCTTGGCTTGCAGTTTGGTTCAGCCTAATCCTCCAGCTTCAGCTGCCACTTCTCCTATTGCCTCCATAGTGCATTATGCCTCTGCCATATTATGTCCTTTTTTGTCTACCAGATATACAGTCTCTGTTCATGAATGAGATACAATTATACAAATGTGAATTTTCCCCAAGTTAAATAATAAATTCATTAATGTCCCAGTTAAGATTTCTCATGAGGAACTTGAAAACATCCTGAAAATTATATGGGTTGATGGAGGTTCATGATTAGCCAGTGACGTTTTGACAGAAGAAGTAGGAGTGGGGGACTTGCCCTCAATCATGATGTCTGGCTATAAAACCATCATGATAAAACCTTGTGGTACTAGCACAGGAGCAAACCACAGAGCTCAGTGCAGAACTGTCTATATTTGGGAACCAAGATGTTGAAAATGGGCTCACTCCTCTGAGAAAAAAAAATCGGATCCTTACCTCACACCATACGCAAAAGTAAGATGGGCTCAAGAACTGAATGCTAACAAGTAAAACTATGACACTAATGTAAGAAAATGATAGACAATAGCTTTATGACCTTGGGGCTGAGAAGGACTTCTTAAATCATACTGGAAAAGCATGTAAAAAGTAAAACACACACACACACACACACACACACACACACACACACACACACACACAATGAAGGGCTACAAAATGAAGGATTATTGTTTTACAAAGGACATGGCAAGCAAAGGTTTCAGTCTTTGAAAGCAGATTAATGTCCAGATTAATGTACAAAAACCTCTTGCAAATCAAATGAAAAAGAAAAAGAGCAACTGAAATATAGGTAAAGGCTATAAATAGACAATTCACAGAAGGGAATCCCAAGTGGCTTACAGATGTATGAAGAAATGTTCAATTTCACTAGGAGTCAGAGAAACGCAGAATAAAGCCAAAATATGTTGACACTACTTCCATGATAATTGACAGAATTTAGAAAATTGGCTAATTAGATGAGTCAGTATTTGTAAGGCACTTAGAATAGTATTTGACACTTGGTAAACACTATGTGAGTGTTTATGAATAAACAAACTACAATGTGCTGGTAAGGATGAGAGTAGGGCCAGAAACCCTCACACTGTGCACTGGAGGATAGTGTAGAGCAATAATTCTGGTGTGCCATCTTGCAGTACTTGAAGTTAAGTACCCAGGGCTCCTAGCAGGCTACTGGGCACCTTTGTGCCATTGGAAAACAGTGTCTACCACTGGGCAAATGAATTTGAAAGAGGAAAACCCTCTCAATAGTAATAGCCTCTCAGGTTTGTGACTTGACTAGGGAACAGAGCTTTTGGGGGAAGAAAAGGGCAGATCTTCCTTCAGCAGGGCACATGACATAGGAAAGCTGTTTTCCAGCTCCCACTGGTGCATGGCTGGATGTCTTTGTGCAGGACAAGTTGCATAACCAAATGTGAATTGCCCTGTACATCCACTATAACTTACCAACCTCATTTTTAGGCATATGTTGCCGAGGAATTGCACATAGGTCCACAAGAGACCATGGACGAGGATGATTATCGCTGAGAGGTAGGGGTAGCCTTGGTATCCATTTGGGGAATGGAAGTCACATGTGTTGCTGTCCAATATGGAATACTGTGCAGCAATCAGAAGCGATAAACTAGGATTACAATACCAACTGCAAAAGAATAGATTCATAAAAAGAATATTGAGTGAAAAAAAGTAGAAAATAAGATCATCCTAAAGTCCCATATCATTAAAAAATACACTAATAAAAATGCATACACTTTTCAAAAATGCATATTCAAGCACAGTAGCATGAATGTTTATGGGGCTGAGGAGGGATGGGAGTAAGGATGGGGTTAAAGGGAAAAAAAACAAGAGGGGTTTTGCATATTTCATGAGCCAAGTTGTTTACCCTCTGTACCTGAAGGTTAAAGAGTGTGGAGGAGGAGGGGGAGAGGGAGACGAAATGATCTTGAGAGGAGCCCTAGATGAAAGGCAACTTTCCATGATGTGGCTCCACATACGTTTTCCCAGGGTGCTTCGAGCGCTGCGCCCTATTATTCTTACCACTGGTGACTAAACCCTTTGAAAACAGGGTCTGTGTTTTCTCCACCTTACTTTCCCTTCCGTTATCTTGCACACAGTAGCTGCTTCATGAGGGTTGAGTTGACTCGAACGGAGATTATTTCTTGTTCCCGCGACGGAGTCTCTTTGTCACGGAGAGCAGAGGGTGGCTTCCGGCCCTTCCAGAAGCCTTTGATCCACCTTTCCATCTAGGCGTTAGTTCTCCTCTGGCCTTAGCGACCTCCCAGCGCTGCGCCTTCTCGTTCCTCGGAGTTTCCAACTTCCGAGGGCACCTTGGGACTCCGCCCAGCCTCTCATGGGCCCCGCCCCTCACACCCTTGGTCCCGCCCCACACAGGGCAGTTTGCCTATGCCTCTTAAGACGCCTCCCGGGTGCCCTCCCCAGAGGCTCCTCCCCTTTCGGAAGTCCTCCAGTTTCCTCAGAGGGCGTGGCGGTTGCCTGGCGACGGGAGGACGCGCCGAGCGCCGGGTTTCGGCCCCCTGCGGGGGATACCAATAACGTGGCGCTGTTTTAGACGCCGGGGGTAGTGCACAGCCCCATCCGCAGCTCCGGCCCGGTTTCCGCGATCACCGCAGAAGCCTCTGAGGCCACCCCCCAGAGAGCGTCAGGATGGCCGAGGTCAGGAGTTAGTGCCCCTCTCTCTGTCGTCTCTCGCTCGTCCCCTCCCCATCAACCCTCTTCTGTCGACTTCTCCGCTGTCACATCCGCTGATTCCTACATTCCTCCCATCAACATCCTATTCCCCGCACCCGCAGCCTCACCCCACCCCTCAGTGTTTACCTCCTGTCCCTCCTTCAACTGGGTGGACACACCCCAACCCCACTCTTAAAACTGGCGCTGTGTTCAACATAGTATGAAATTCATGATTTCCCAGATTCACACATGACAGGCACCCACCCCTAGATTTTGAGCCATAAGGTTTTGAGCCCAGGAGAGGTACGTAGAAATATTGATGTCTCACTGATTGGTGGGACTTGGAGGAAGGCTTCATAGATACCCACTGTCACCCCTATTCACTGACCCTTGTCCACCTGTCACTCCACGATTCCCTATCATCACCTGCTGTGACACATCTTCATTAAGCTCTTCACCTATCACCAATGCCCCGTGTTGTCATTGACCACTGTGTAAAATCTTCTAGCTCACTTTGTAGCACACTCCATCTTCAGGCTCACCAATGAGGGACCATTTCTGTAGCTCTTTATTGATCCTTTGTCCATTAGCACCTTCATTTGTAATTTGGACAACCTCATGTCCCTGTCATCACTTGTCAGTCACAGTCCCCGTTCACCGTGGCCATACCCTATTCCTCCATCATCCCTTCAGATCCCTCCCTCATCTCACACATCACAGGATCAGTCCCAGCCAGGGTCAGCCATATAGTTTGTGAGGCTCAATGAAGATGCAGAGCCCCTTGTCAACAAATTATTAAGAATTCCAAAGTGAGACAGCAGAGCATTAAACCAAAGGTGGGGGCTTATCTGAACAAGGGGCCCTGGACACTCTCAAGGTTTTATGTCTAGGGAACCATACTGGTCCCCGCTTCTCTCATCACCATCATGCCCCCACTCTTATTCCAGTTCCTTCTCATATCTCCTCACATCCCTCACCATTCCGTCTCCTCCATATTTGGTCCCTCCTTCCTGTGGGCAAAGATCCCTCCTTCTCTTATCATACAATCCCTCTCCCACCCTCATCTTCCTCACTCTCAGGTAGGTGCCTCACACATCCATACTGTGGTGGCCACAATACTCACCCCATTACCTACACTCACTCGTGTCTCTTTCCTTCCCATCTCTTCCTCCCATTCCTTCTAGCTCTCCTTTAGTTTCTCCTTTATTTGATTTTTAGCATACCTTCCTTTTCTCTCTCACCAGTCATCTTGGTTCATTTCATTCTTCATTTTCCACACATAAGCCCAGATACCAATACCATTAACAATTTATTTCCCAGTCTCCCTTCCCTTGCGTTATCTCCCCTCATTTCTTGCCTTCTTTTGTTTTTCTTCTCACTTGATCTCAGCTGGGTTTTCCTCACCTCTACTTCCACAAGTCTCCATTTCCACTCTGGCCTCCTTTGTCACTGCAACTCTCTTGTCCTTTTTCCTTGTTGTTTTCCCCACTGAATGATATTCCCAACACCTACAACAGTGCCCGGCAGATAGTAAGCACTTAATAGACAGGTGTTGAATGAAGGAACATCATAGTTCCTTTCTGACCAGTTCATGTTGAAATCATGCTTCTAAAGTAGGTATCATTATATGCTCTAACAATGTAGATACCAACTGGTTATGGGTCACAGCTCAGAGATGATTTTTGCTGTGCTTTTAGTAGCATACACACACACACACACATGTATCCATGTGTGTTGTGTATATATACATACATATACACAACACACATATATGGATATTTATTTATTTTGAGAGAAGGAGAGAGTAAGCAAGCAGGAGAGGGGAAGAGAGAGAGGGAGAGAGAGAATGCCAAGCAGGCTCTACAAAGCCCATCATGGGACTGCATCCCATGAACCATGAGATCATGACCTGAGTGGAAATCTGGAGTCTGACACTTAACCGACTGAGCCACCCAGGTGCCCCAATAGTAGTATATTTTTAAAATGACAATATGAACAAATCTGTTCGTGAATGTTTTTAAAAACCTTTTCTTTCTTTGACATTTTTCCATTCCTATGCTAAGTGCCAGGTGTGCAGGGAAAACCTGGTCTGCAAACAAATCATCAGGCTAGTGATCAAGTGTTGGCATTAATACCATTTACACGGATGGAACTGAGAACATTGCTATGATAAATTTTTGTGTGTGCTCATGTTTAGCATCAACAAGGGGAAAACACAGGGCGGCAGTACCACCATATTTCCTTAATACGATTTTTTTCTTCTTTGTGGAATTGCTGTGTTGTGATGTTTACAGTAAGCTGCTTCTCATTGGGAAGAAAATCTCTGTTGAGTTTAACATTGTGCTAATGTTATACAAAATGTTATAGGTAGGCTTGGTACTCCACATCTACTTTAAGATGTGGATTCTTTTTGCTTGCATGTAATCTTTAGAAATCAATAGTACAAGTGTTTTTGAAAACCAAAAATACATAGACTTTCTCCATATTGGGCAAGTGAGGCTTGTTAAGGCAGAAGGTAAACTAGACTGCTTACCCCGATTCTGCAGGGTGAATTTAAATTTTACTTTATTTTTGGGATTGGAGATCATCTCAGTTGATTTCTTTGATTAGCAATACAGTGTCGATCTTGGAGCTCTTTTTCATGTAGAATATCAAAGTGTAATGTTGCATACATAAATAAGTCCTCTCAAACTTTATCAGATCAGAAGTTTTGAGTGGGTCTGTGTGGCCTACAGATTAATTCACTCCATGTTCCTTAGAATGCCATTCACGGCCTCCAGTCTGTCTTTAACTTCCTGTCTAGTCTTCTCTTTCCTTCTCCCTGTCATACTTCTTACTCTTTAGCCAACTTGAGTTTTTTTTTTAAATTTTTTAAATATATTTTTTTTAATTTATTTTTGAGAAAGAGAGAGAGAGAGACAGAATGCGAGTGCGTTGGGGCAGAGAGAGAGGGAGGCGCAGAATCTGAAGCAGGCTCCAGGCTCCAAGCTGTCAGCACAGAGTCTGACGTGGGGCTCGAACTCATGAGCTGTGAGATCATGACCTGAGCCGAAGACTGAGCCACCCAGGTGCCCCGAGCTTTATTTTATTTTTTTTAAATATAATTTATTGTCAAGTTAGCTAACATACAGTGTATAGAACGCGCTCGGAAGTAGATTCTCATGATTCATCACTTACATACAACACCCCCAACTTGAGCTTCTTAATCAATCTCAAATCCTGGATACTTTCTGGGCCTGAGCCTTTGTTCAAGCTTTGCCATGGGCCAGGCATACCTTTTCCCTCCATATTCACCTGTGAATATTTCACTCTCCCATCTGGACATACTCAAATACCACCTCCTTTAGGAAATTTGCTTTCATTCTTACTCCTGGGAGTAGTTCCATCTTCCTATAGGTCCTTGTAGAATTTTGAATCCATTTTATGGCATGTATCAAATTCTATACTTCCACTATCTGAAAACATACTCCATCAACTATTAATGTATAAATTCCCTGTGGGAGGGCTGTTTATTCCTTACCTTGGTACCTCCTACGAAGGCTCCCTCATTCCAACTTACAAATAGCAGATGTTCAATAAATATTTGCTGAATAAATGAAGAAATTTATTAACCACCCCCATTCTTTGTCATTATTGTGCTGTGTCTAACAAGGAGAAGGTGTATTAGTTTACTAGGCTGTTACTCAGCCATAACAGAGTACTGCAAACATGGTGGTTTAAACAGTAGACACTTCTTGTCTCACACTTTCGGAGGTTGAAGTCTGCAATCAGGATGTTGGCAGGACCATGCTTCCTCTGAGACTCTAAGTAAAATTCTTCCTTACCTCTTCCTAGCTTCTGATGGCAGCCAGTGATCCTTAGCTTTCCTTGGCTTACACCCTGTTTCTGTCTTCACGTGGTATTTCTTTCTTTCTTTATTTTTATTTTAATGTTTATTTATTTTTGAGAGAGAGCAAGAGAGAGAACAAGTGGAGGAGGGGCAGTGAAAGGGAAACAGAGGATCCAAAGTGGGCTCCAGGCTGACATCAGAGAGCCTAATGCAGTGCTCGAACCCATGAACTGTGAGATCATGACCTAAGCCGAAGTCAGATGCTTAGCCAACTGAGCCACCCAGGCGCCCCTCGTGGTGTTTCTTCCTTCCTGTGTTTGTGTCGCTGTCCAAATCCCATTCTCTACTTTTTTTGCATTGAGATAGAATTGACATGTGACATTGTATTAGTTTTAGTTGTACAACATAATGATTATATATATATATTGCAAAATGATTACTACAATAAGTTTAACATCCATCACTACACATAGTTACAGTCTTCCCTCTTTTTATAAGGACACCAGTCTTATTGGATGAGGGCCCACTCTACTCCAGTGTGACCTCAAGTTAACTGATTATATATGCAATGACTCTACTTCCAAACAAGTCACATTTATAGGTACTGGGTGTTAGAACTTCAACATACCTTTCTGGGAGACAAATTCAACCCTTAACACTAGGGAAATAAGAATTCTTGGGGTGCCTGGGTGGCTCAGTCAGTTGAACGTCTGACTCTTGATTTCAACTCAGGTCATGATCTCGCGGTTGGTGACATTGTGCTATTGGTGCAGATTCTGCTTGGGATTCTCTCTCTCCCTCTCCTTCTGTGTCTCTCCCCTGCACCCTCTCCCCCCACCCCCAAAATAAATAAAATACACTGGAAAAAAAATCTTATTTAACTAACTCCGGGTTCTCATCTAAGTCATAGCCAGATGTGTTTGAATTGTATCTGTATGTCCAGGCTTTTTTTAAAAAAAAATAATTTGTTGTCCAGCTGATCATGGAAAGCAAATCTAGAGAAGACCTGTGAGCATTGCACAAAGGGCATCTCAATACACCTGTGAAGATGACCTTGTCTTATCATTTTAAGAGATAGAAATGATGGAATAGCGTTTAGGAGAAGATTCCATATTTCGGATGGGGTTCATTGTGAGTACGTGTGATTTCATGGTATCCACACCAAGATTCCATATATCTGAGCATAATATCCCTTGGCTTTCTTCTGCAGGATGAAGTGAAAACAAATCAGGGCTTGGAATAATCATAACAGATATCAAAATTTATTGAGTGCCTCCTCTTTGCCAGGCACTTGGCCAAGTGTTTAACATGAATGATCCTGTTTGTTTATTTTTTTGAAGTTTATTTATTTATTTTGGAGGGGGGAGAGGCAGAGAGAGAGGGAGAGAGACAATCCTAAGCAGGCTCCGTGCTGTCATCATGGCGCCCAATTCAGGGCTCAGTCTCACACCATGAGATCATGACCTAAGCTGAAATCAAGTCATGCACTTAACCGACCAAGCACGCCTAATGAATGATACTATTTAATCTGATCTTTGATACCATGTGGTAGGAAATATTACTATCCTAATGCATATGTGTACATATATACATGCATCAGGGGATGAACAAGATGTCTTTCCATCATATAGTCTTAATGTTTCTGTTTTTTTAGTGATGTTTATTTTGCTTCTATGAAGGTCTTGTATTCATAGATAATAATAGCAACCCCTGAATAGTAACATAGACATATTGTAATACTCATTCCCCTTCCTGCTCTTTTGTACAGGAAAAGAGTGAGAAACTAGTGTTGGAAGAAACTGCATTTGAAGAAATCGAAAGGGATTTTCAGGAGGTTCTCAATGAACTTTCAGGAGATAAAAGTCTGGAGAAATTTAGAATTGAATATGAGAAGCTTCATGCTGTCATGAAAAAGTCTTATGACAATGAAAAGCGTCTGATGGCCAAATGCAGAGAGCTAAACGCAGAGATTGTGGTTAATTCTGCAAAGGTCGCCACTGCCCTGAAGCTCTCCCAGGATGATCAGACCACCATTGCATCCCTGAAGAAGGTCAGTGATCTCATAGAAACAGAGCCTACGGAGAGCTGCCATAAATGCATCCTATATTTAAAACGTCATTCTTTCCTTATATTGGCAGCTCTAGGCTGGTAGTAAGTGAGTTATTAAGTAAAAATCTACATGATTTATATATTCATTAAGCCTAGGGAATAATGTTATTTTCAAAGGAAATAATTAGCCTGGTGAATTTCACTGGGCAGAGAATAATATAGAACCTTGCTGGCTTGCTTTCTAAGAAGTACTGGGTTAGCAGAAAGAATGAGAAGTAAGGAAATGTAATATTAGGGACCTGACCTTGGTATGTCTTGTTTGATAGAAGATGAGTAATTAAATATCTCATGATGATAGCTTGTGAAGGATATTTTTTGAAGGATATTTTCATGTTTCTGCTTTTCCTACTGTTTTAGAAGAAATTGCCTTGAGAATTCCTAGATGGTAATTTTCATGATCTTGTTTCCTCCTTGATCCTCCCAATTCCTCATAATGGGAGATCAGGGATTCAGTCTGGGGGCTACTGAGGAAGCATGGTTCTACTTTACCATGGAGTTTTTCATCCTCAAGTGTGTTGCATTATTTTGAGGGTAAAATGTAAATGTTCCTTGTTGCTCTCAGGGTGATAAGAAGTTGAGAGATTTTAATTTATAATTAAAACCCGTGTGGTAAAAAATAACTCATAAAAATTTTAGATAATTCCCTTGATATCATACAATGAAACATCAGGCAATTTAAATGAATTTCCAAGACCAGTGCAAATTATGACATCTGTTATCTTAGAATTTACTTTTTTTAAAGTGCTATTTTCTATTGTCATTTTCTTCTCTTTGCTGGAAAACCAGCAAAGCCTTTAAAAGAAGGCTTTAAATCATTGTATGATGAGGAAAAAAACCCATTTTTTATTGCAAATTAAAAAACTGTAAATGGAAGTCATGAGCTGGTTAAAATATAATTGGTGAAGTTGATTTGGACAAAACTTCGTATAATTGTATTTTCATTTAAATATCCTTCATTTGTTTTGCTGAAAATAGTACATATCGTTGTTACAGAAAAATATACCCTGTAATTATTTTGAATCACTAAATTATGTGAAGTTACCCAAGACTCATCTATCTCTCTCTCCTTCATGTAATGGTGAGCACGAATTTGTGTAAATACTCTCTTCCACTCATTTTATTCCTTGTCAACATAAAAGCGGAATGTTTTCACCTTAAGCTTATAGGTTCTTACCTTTACGAAGGACTCACATTGCACTTGACAGAACTTAGCAAGAAAATGGAGTGGTGGGGTAAAACTGAAGGCTGTTACAACATTTACTATGCTTTGTTCACTTATTTGAATGGATGTAATTCACTTTTAAGTATTTATGTTAATATTCCACATTGGATTTAATAATAGTAAGGAAGCCAAAACTGCATGAGTCCTTGTTCCCATTCCCAGCTAGGGCTTTGCTTTTCCCCTGTGAGCATCTGATGAGAAGATCTGGGAGTGGATTTCTGGAATGGGAATTACCAAGGCTGTTATGTACAATTAGGTGACAGCAAAGACTACCTTGCTATGAATTGTTCTAAAGCTGACATAGCCATCCAGGACCCCTTACTTGAGACCTGACTACAAAATAGATTTTTTAAAAATTTGTGATCGATCAAGAGCTTCAAATTTAGGGCTTGGATCCAAGGCCACTCCTTATTTTTTTTTCTCCATAATACTTGGGCTTGGAAAACACATAGGCTTTCGTTTTTTAATTTTGTAAACCTATCTTAACATTTTTATTAGAAATATCCTCCTAGTTATAGTGGCCCTTGCAAGATGTGAGCCTTGTAACCCCACTCACCTACACAAGGAAAAATACCATTTGCCAGGACCCCTTCTAACACTGCTGTTCAGTATCGACTAGCTCATGTTGAACAATTTAGTAAGTCAATATAAATGGAATGCATAATGTATAATATATAATCTTCTTCCCCATAAATGACAACTATATTGGAGTTGTTTTATTATTCTATTTACTCAGTTTATCTTGCATCTGGATCCTAGTTTGGTTTTTCTCACTGATGTGCCGTGGCCCATATAGGAAATCGAAAAGGCCTGGAAGATGGTGGACTCAGCCTATGACAAAGAGCAGAAGGCAAAGGAGACGATCCTTGCCCTGAAAGAGGAAATAGTGAACTTAACCAAACTAGTCGAGCAGGGGTCTGGACTGTCACTGGACCAGGATAGCAAGTAGGTCATAGACTTGTTAATGTATGTTGAACTTGCTTTTGTGGAGGCCCCCTTATTCAGCAGATGGCCTGGGGTTTGCCGTGTCACCTTGAACATTCTTTATGATACAACAGTCTTCTTCTTTGGTAGTTTCCCAGAGATTGTTTTCCATCTATTGCTATTTTTTGTTTTTAATGCTCCCTTTCTCCATACCCAAGAACTCATAATTTGTGATTATATTAAACTTTTGGCTCTGCAGGAATATGTACTATAATTTCAAAATGAGTAAATATTTTAGATTTCTTTCTCTCAAACTTGTGTGAAATGGAACTCGCTGCCTTTCTGCTCTGATTTCCAGCCCCTTCCCATGCTCTGAACCCCCATTAGTCCCATCACCATTCTTCTAACTTCTCTGGTTCTAGGCCAGAAAACAGATTCTAGACCGCTCTTTTAACCATGAAAGCTTCGTCTTGTTGATTCTGTCTTCTGATCATCACTTGTGTCTTTCCCTGCTCCTTATCAGCAGTGCTAATGCCTTGCTTCGGGCTCCCCATTCTTGGCTGGATTTGGCGATGGACTGCTAACTGTTCTACCTGCCTTCAAGGAGACATATCCCCTCTTCACCATCTTCCACACACCAGATTTAGGCTTCTGAAATGTGTATCTGAGTGCTCCCATCTCCAGCACATGTTCCAAACACCTTCAATAGTTCCCCACTCCCAAAGAATGCAGCCCAGTCATGAACATGTCTTTTAGGGCCCTACATAGATCTGTCCGCCAGCCTTGCTAGACTCATGTCCCGAAACACCATGCTTGCTGATGCCTCAATACCTTTGATCATGCTGTTTTTATTCCAGGAATGCTTTTTCTTTATTTCTCCACACAGTAAACAACTATGCACCCTTCATGACCCATCTCAAACACCATCTTAATTTCATCACTGTTGGCACCTCTATTTCAACCTCCTCCCTACCCCTAGCCTCAGTGAGAGTCACTGTGTTCTCTGTTTCTGTAGAACCCAACATGTATCTCAAGTGTGGCATTGATCACATTGTATTGAAATTATTTGTTGAAATACTTCACTATCTGTTAGGCTACAAACTCTTGAAGGAAGACACTTTTACCTTCCCTCTAGGTGTCTAGCACTGTGCAAGGCATGCAAAACCTTGCATTAGTTTATGAGTCAGGAATGATCACACACTTCCTTAGGCATTTTTTTTTTAAGTTGGCTCCATACCCAGTGTGGAGCCCAATGTAGGGCTTGAACTCATGACCTTGACATCAAGACCTGAGCTGAAATCAAGAGTCGGACACTCAACTGACCAAGCCACCGGGGTGCCCCTTCCTTAGGCATTTTTCACCAACTCTAACTGCTGCCTAGGTTTCTTATGTTTTCTAGATGCATTTATCCAATGTTGAGAGATAGTTCTAGGTGCCAGGGTTGGAGGAAGGAACAGGAAAAACAAAAAGAAGACGTGATATCTGTCATAATGGACTCTATTTTTTCATTAAAGGAGTCAAACACCATCAGAGCAACTACTGAAGAGCAATGTGAGGGAACTGATCAGTTAGGAGTTTTAATGAGAGTTGGAGCACAGTGAGGAGGAGAACTGAATAAACTAGCCCTAACAATGTGCTTAGGTGTAGCTGTCTTCAGAGTAACCTCAGAATTTGAAGTTTTGTTTCTGGAGAAGAAGTTGAATGCAGTTCTGAAAGTTCCTTATTAAATACTTATGTTCTACCAAAGTTGTTGGTAAATAAACATTGTCAGAGGTGCTTCCAATGGCCATTTGATGACTCAGTAGTGAGTACCTCAAGTTCTCTATTTTCTCAACTCTCATGTGGCTGCCTTGTTCTAGGCTTTCATTCTGCTGCACAGATCAGATCAGACACAGTCTTTCTATTTCAAGAACACTAATTCTGCAGAAAGTCATGCCAAATCATAAATAATGTTTTTTTTTTAATGTGGAAGTAACTGGTTAACAATTCAAATCAACAAATATCATCACATACTCTCCAAAAGCTGGCAACATGAATGATTTCCAAATTTTGTTCTTGGGAACATTTTATCAGAGTTGCATCCCTTTGGTGGAAACTAATCTCTATGGGTGAATGATTAGAAAACTGGCGATGTGTATTATTTGCTTATTTTTATGCTTTATTTTAGACTTTATAGTTGTGATCATAGCCCTCCCCTGGGTATATTAAACAAATAATTTCTTAAATTAACATTTTCTTTAGGATGAATTACAAGAGTTGACAGTAGCTGTATAGTCTTATTGTAACAAATTCAAATAATACAGAGGTGTGGCAACTAAGGAGTAAGAATTACCCCTCCAACTCTTCCAACCCTATATTCTACTTTTCAGAGATAACCAGTTACCAATTACCAGTTTGGATCTATTTTCTTGGACTTCTATAAAAATGTCTATAAAACACATACACCTATATGCAGACACTGTAATTATTTAAACATCAGAAAAGGGATCATGTTATATATATTATTATTGGAATGTCTTTTTCAGTTAACAACTCACAAGCAGCTACCATGTCCATGTCAGGGCATAAAGGTCCTTCTCTTTCACACTTGAATGGTGTTAGTCCTTGACCTAAAGTCTTTCCCATGAAAATGTGCTCAGAGGGTGATAGGAAGGGCTCCTGAGAAGATGGCCTTTTAGTCTGACTCCTGTGTTCTTCTTTTTTAGTATCCGAGATTTACTGAAGTTCAAAGAAGAAGTGATAAAGGAGCGAGACCAGCTCTTGTCAGAAGTGGTGAAATTACGAGAGTCCTTAGCTCAGACTACTGAACAGCAGCAGGAAACGGAGCGATGCAGAGAAGAGGCAGAGCAGACCATCAGTCAGGTCTGCTTTGTCGTGGAGGGCAAGATGAAAGAACATTACCTTCTAGAAGTCCTTCCCATATTGTTCCTCTCTCAGATTTACCCCCTGGTGCCCAAATGAAGCATCCACAGGTCTGCTTACTTGTCTGGTTTGTTCTTACAAGAACAGTTTTACTTGTTCATTTCTTCTCAACATTCTGTGTCTGAGAAGTCACTAAGACAGGGCACTGCTTACAATTTTGGCTTAAGAATGTGTCCCCGGCAAAGGCGAGAATGCTCTGCATCTGGAGATGGTGCAAGTAGTTCCCTTGGCCCTTCTCCTTTGTAAGGACTTCTTTTGAACACTTTTTATAATAACCCAGGAGTCAAATAGATGATACACACATGCAACCCCTAGGAGATTCCTTTGAGCATGAGATAACAGATTTTTCATAGATTTTTGACCATCATGATAAAGCTATAATGCTTTATGTAATAACATCCAGGACTCATGTGAAACATAATTTAATGTTTAGGGTAACTGGCGACATTTTATTTAGATCCTATTGATAGAGAATTGGGTGAATTCTTTCAATGTTTAACTCTCTAGAATTCTGGGTTTCCCTATTTAATTGGATCTTATACCATTCTTTGTGGATTTGTTCCCACCGTTAGGGTGGATGTCTGGTGTTAAGGCTCTGGAAAACAACACAGAACATTCTCGAAAAGTTTGAACGTTGGGGTTCAAAGATGACTGTCCTGCAGGGGAAAGGCTACCACGAGGTGACTGCCCCGAAGTTAGAAGAGTTGAGATGAGGAGCAGCTCAGCTGGTTGAGATCTGTCCTGGGGAGGGCTTCATCCCTTTCCTCCCCTATCCTTTCTGTGCCCTAGTTCCGGCAAGAGATACAGCAACGTCAGAATGAAGCATCACGGGAGTCTCGGAAGAAGGAAAAACTGGAGAAAGAGCTCAGGCAGATTCAGACAGACATGGACACCAGGCAGACGGAAATTAGGGCCCTGCAGCAGTATGTGCAGAAGAGCAAGGAGGAGCTTCAGAAGCTGGAGCAGCAGCTGAAGGAACAGAAGGTGCGCTGGGTGTGGGCTGCGCCTCGGTCCTCGCAAAAACAAGAAGGGGGCCTTTGGAACACTTTGAGTTTTCTCTGGAAGGGAGCAGACTTTCTGCACTAGAGATGTTGGTAACACAGCACTGGGCACTGCATTGCTCTTTGAAGAGCTCGTATGGGTATCTATGACCTTTTTTCCCCCAGCTCCAACAGGTTAATTTCTTTTTAACATTCTGTTGATGTGTAATATATACATAGAAAAGTGTGTAAGTCAACAGTGTACAGCTTGATGAATTTTCTCCACCTGAACATATCTTGGTCACCTGCACCAGGCCCAAGGAACAGTACGCCAGATGTCCCTTTGTGCCCCCTCCCAGTCACTCTCTCCCTTAAAGGTCACTTCTATTCTGAAACCTAAGCAGAGTTTAGTTTTGTCTGTTTTTGCACTTCACAGAAATGCACTCATACAGTCATACAATGCTCTTTTGTACTAACTTGCTCAGTATTTTGTCTGTTTGTGAGATTCATTTGTGTTGCCACATGGTTATAGAATGGCACTATCCAGTATGGCCATGCATTGCTATTTAAATTTAAGTTATTTTAAATAAAATGAAACAAAATAAAATAAAACCTCAAGTGCTCAGTTGAGCTAGTACCATTTCAAGTGCTTAATAGCCACAGGGCTAGTAGATAACCTATTGGACAGAACAGATAGACAACATTCACATCATTGCAGAAAGTTCTGTTGGACAGAGCTCAATAGAACATTCACCGTCATAGTGTTCCTTGTGTGACCATAACATGGTTTATTTTTAAGCGGCTTATTTTTAAGTTTCAAGTTTAGGAACCCATATTCAGTCTATCTGCATTTTAAATATGGTGCTATTTTTAATATTTTCCCTATAACAGCAGTTGAAGGTAACTCAAATAGTAATAATTGTGCTCTGTCTTTTCTCATTTCTTAAAGAGGCAATTCATATAATTGAGAAAAGTCGTTTCTTGAAAATAGTTTCTCTTAGGAAGTTTTCAAAGAATTGCCAAGACATACAGCATTTTTCCACTTAAAAAATAGATGTTAGAACACATTTCTTTGTCAATTGCCTTATTAATATTGTATAAAGGCAGAAATCAGATGGGTAATACACATTGTGCAAGTATCCACAAGAAAAACGAGACTTCTTTGAGCATGAAATTTGAGAGGTTTTTGAACATCACGATTAAATTATAGTGCTTTGTTTAGCAATATCCAGGACTCACGTAAAACACAATTTCATTTTTAGCATAGCTGGCTGTATTTTGTTTGGTCCCTATTGATGGGAAATTGGATGAAGTCTTTCCATGTTTAACCTTTGATTGCATCAAGTTATATTTTGGGATAACTGTCTAAACTATCTTCTCTCTCTTTTCCCTTCAGCGCATTTTCTCCCCCTCCATCCTCTCACTAGTCTGCCAATAGAAATGATGACTCCCTGCCCTGCCAAAAAATATAATCCTGTTTTTATAAAACTGTGTCTGCTGAGGATAGGCAAGGTAGGGAAGAGGAAACTCCACTGACACTGAAGTCAGGCAGATAGAAATCATTCCTCTGCCATTCCACGGTTTTGACTTGAGTTGGATTTAAGGGGAATTGTCTCTGTGCTGGTGTTAGTGAATGGTTCTGTCCAAGAAAATGTTGTAGGCATGTTAATGCAGGATTTGCTTCTGAAGATGTGGCTTCCCAGCCCCACAACTGATAAAACCCGTTTGAATCTCTAGCTCATTTGCAATGATTATAGCAATTGTTGCATATGTGAAGCTTGCCAAACGGCAAACAGGCATTAAAATATTTATCCACCACCTGTGAACAAGACTTCCCAAGGCTCTCAGAAAAAAAAAAATTATGCGCTCTGTGTTATTCATTAGAAGGCGTCATTTTCCTCAGCCATTTAACATTCATCATATTTGAGTGCATTAGTGCTTTCACCGGGGATAAAGAACAATTTCTACAAAGACAAAAAAAAGTGTGGTTGCTGTGATCATCCCAGGAGGTTTGCAGGGCCTCCTGTGTGGATATGCAGATATTGTAATCAGATTAAAAGCATTAACCAGCTCATTATGCATCTTTCAGATATTGAACGAAAGAGCTGCAAAGGAACTGGAGCAGTTTCAGATGCGAAATTCTAAACTTCAGCAAGAGAATGAACAACACAGTTTGGTTTGTGAGCAGCTATCCCAGGAAAACCAGCAGAAGGCATTGGAGCTCAAAGTAAACACCAAGTGACTGATTTGTTGCCTAGCACTCCCTCCCTTATTCCCTATTTTATTAAAATTTTTTAATGTTTTTTGAATTTTTGAGAGAGAGAGAGAGAGAGAAAGAGAGAGAGAAAGAAACAGATTGCAAGCGGGGGAGGAACAGAGAGAGGGAGACACAGAATCTGAAGCAGGCTCCAGGCTCGGAGCTGTCAGCACAGAGCCTGATGCGGGGCTTGAACTCAAGGATCTTGAGATCATGACCTGAGCTGAAGTCAGACACTTAACCAACTGAGCCACCCAGGCCCCCTCACTCATTCCCTATTAATACAGATTTGCTGTAGTGGTTGGAGCTGTTGGTTGGATAACCTGTATTAGCCTTGATATGTCAGAGGCAGGCTCAAGCCTACAGTGATTGCTTTCTGCTTGGAAGTAGATAGTTTGATGACTTCCATTCTCATAAAACCACAAACCTGAATATTGATCATATGATTATGCAAGTATTTTTGAGAGCAAGCTCAGATACTCATCTCTGTAACTTAGCCTTGTAAGCAACTAGTTGCCCTGAGCTAGAAACCATTTACATGAGTGAGTAGCAAAGAAGTTAGATTATATTTTACTACTTTTATATGGAGAAGGTAGAATAGGAGGGTTGGGGGATGGACTGGTACTATTGAGTATCTACTTCCAGGATTGTAGAACCATGATTTTTTCTTCTATACACTGTAAATTCCAAGACAGGCTTCCCATTCTTCTCCCTGTCCTCAATGAAGAGTGTTTGCAAATTATGTTTGGGTAACAGTTTTATACTTGGGTACATATTGTATACCTACGTGTTTAACAGAGCGACTTTATGTTTATCACTGATTCTGAAAAAAATCCATAAACCCTTCTCTGGTTATGTTAGGATACTAAGCATAAAATGAGTGACCTATCAAGAATGATACATAGATTTGATCAGTGAGTCATAACAGTTTTTGCTTCTTATGCCCTTTTGAAAATCTGATGAGAACATGGGTGTACGTGCGCCCACACACACACACACACACACACACACACACACACACACACACGCACACGCACACACACACACACTTATTTGCACATCTTCTATCTTGTTTTGAATGCAGTCTCAGGTTTCCAAGATTTTTCTGAAGTCTAACCATGAGGTCTGGATTAATAACTACTGAATTACAACATTCTATTGTTCTAATTGGAAAAGGCCCTAGTTCAGCTAATTTCGACCATGTAAATCTGAGGCCGAGGAGTATTTAAAACAGTCCAGAGTGGTTTGACTTGAAACCATTCTTTATGAGAAAGCTGTAAATTGAAGCAGAAATGAAATGGCTTCTTAAAGCAAAATAATATATTAGCCTCTAAGGTAAAATTAAAGTAAAAATACTTATGCCATTAATTCTCTTCTTTGGTAACATGAATGGGGCACCTTGAAAGATGGAAAATTTTTGTTATCAGATCCTGAACCTATGGGATTCTACTTCTAGCAGTAATCTGAGAATGACATGCCCAGCTGAGTGCAGTTTCTTCCTTGTCAAGAGCTGGGGATAACTGCTAATGTTTATTTGCTCTCGTTGCTTTTCCAGTAATTTCTAAGAATGGCAGATTTATTTTATTTTATTTAAAAAAAAATTTTTTTTTTCAACATTTATTTATTTTTGCGACAGAGAGAGACAGAGCATGAACGGGGGAGGGGCAGAGAGAGAGGGAGACACAGAATCGGAAACAGGCTCCAGGCTCTGAGCCATCAGCCCAGAGCCCGACGCGGGGCTCAAACCCACGGACCGCGAGATTGTGACCTGGCTGAAGTCGGACGCTTAACCGACTGCGCCACCCAGGTGCCCCTAAGAATGGCAGATTTAAAAAATGAATTTGAATTTTAAAAAATTAATAAAACTTGAGGTCCATTGGCAAAAATCTGGTGCTTTCTTGTGCTAGAATTATTATTTTGGTGTCTTTTGCCAATATGTAGACTTGACTATTGATGATGCCCTGTCCATGTATCTGTATGTACACCCACTGACTAACATCCTCTGAGGAAGTAGGGCCCTTTCTCTAGTGTGTGTAGTTGTACTCCAGTGGCCATGTGGGTTCAAAAGAGTATCTGAATATGTTAATAGCATGTCAACAACCTTCTGAGAGAGGGGTGCCTGGGTGGCTCAGTCGGTTAAGCGTCTGACTTTGGCTCAGGTCATGATCTCACAGTTGGTGGGTTCAAGCCCTGCTTTGGGCTCTGTGCTGACAGCTCAGAGCCTGGAGACTGCTTCGGATTCTGTGTCTCCCCCTCTCTCTGCCCCTCCCCTGCTCACACTCTTTCTCTCTCTCAAAAATAAACATTAAAAAAATTTCAATAACCTTCTGAAAGAGATCACTCTGTGAGTCCATAAAAATTGGTAATCAAATACAGCATTCGTATACAAAATTCACACATTTGTGATATGTACAACTCAGCATTCTTACCCTGTTTGATTCAACAATTCAGTGGTACCTTGAGACATCAGGTCTAATCAGTCTTTCCATTATTTTTTAGCTTATATAGCAACATTTTATTCAGAGAATAGTTTTTCAATTTCTCTCAAAACCAAACAATGTGTGTTTTTGTTTAACCCATACAACAACTTTACACTAACATGGGAATAATTTCCTTTTATGGGTTCTGAGTTCACCATCACCTAGTCACTGGCACTTTATTTACTGAATATCCCTGGTTAATTCTCTCACTAATTACAGGCCAAAGAGGAAGAAGTCCATCAGATGCGGCTTGACATTGGGAAGCTCAATAAAATCAGAGAACAAATCCATAAGAAATTGCATCAGATCGAAGATCAAAAGTCAGAGGTGGAACAGCACAAGGAAACTCTAAAAAATCAGATCTTGGGATTAGAGAGAGGTAATCCAAGAAACATTTCGTGCTTTGTCATACTCCTTTGTAAACATTTTATTGGTGACTGTGATTTGGCAACCCAGGGCTCTGTGCGTCCAAACACAAACCATGCCAGATGTAATCAGTAAAACAACTTCCAAACTGGTAAGCAGCCAATATGCAGGGGACATCATTTTGAATACCTTGAACTATCCTACCTTAAAAAATTCTTCAACAGACTATATTGGTGCAATGTAAATCCAGCCAAAAGTATTGCTCAGTATTTGTCGCTGGAATAAATAGCATCTATACTGTTAAGTCTGGGTTCTACATGACTTTATGCTTTAGTTCCTTTTCTCAGAGAAGATAGGGGATAAATTAAAACAAATGTTCCCCCACTAGCAATATTTGGGACAATGTTGTACCAAGAATCAGTGAGACAAAAATTAGTGGTTCCTAACTTCCTTTAAAAAAATGTTTATTTATTTATTTTGAGAGAGAGGGATAGAGAGTGAGCAGGGGAGAGGCAGAGAAAGAGGGAGACAGAGAATCCCAAGGAGGCTCTGCAGCTGTAAGTGCAGAGCCCTACATGGGGCTTGAACTCATGAACTGTGAGATCATGATCTGAGCTGAAACCAAGAGTCAGACATTTAACTGACTGAGCCACCAGGCATCACAATGGCTCCTAACTTCTTTTCTCTGTTATTACTTTACCATGTGATGAACCTTGTTTTTTCCAGCTATCACATTGCCCCATGGAGGGAAAATTTAAGTGCTATGGAAGGTCACATAGCACAGAAAAATCATTAAGGATACAAACTATGGAGTCATGTCTACCTGGGTAAAGATCTCACCTTCATCGTATTTATTGTTAGGGGATGAAATGAGCTGATACATATAAAGCACTTGTGGACAGTACCTAACACAGTAAATGCTTACTAAATGGCATCTATTATCATCTGGGAGTATTACTATTTATATAAGCAGTAAGAGAGAATGCCATCTCATTCTGAAAAAGAATATAATTGAAAATAGGATATGCTAGTCAAATTTGGTGTGGCAGAAACAGCCCTGAACTTGGACACAGAGGATCTGGGTTTGACTTTGACTATACCAGAGTATGTGAGGCAGGAACACCTCGTTGAACTCATATGGGTTGTAGATCACTGAATGAGATAACATGCATACCAGCATAAAAGCAGACATTGCCCCCCTAAAAGGTAAAATCTAAATCTCTAGGCAAGGTTATTAGAAATACATCTGACCCTTGAACAACATGGGTTTGAACTGCATGGGTCCACTTACCTGTGGATTTTTTTTTTCGGTAAATACAGTACATCACTATGAATGTATTTTCTCTTCCTTATGATATTTTTAGTAACATTTTCTTTTCCGCAGCTTACTGTAGGGTAAAAATGCAGTATATAATACATATAACATGCTAAATATGTGTTAATCGAACTGTTTATATTATCAGTAAGGCTTCTGGTCAACAGTAGGCTGTTAGTAGTTAAGTTTTTGGGGAGTCAAAAGTTATACATGAATTTTCATCTTCACAGGGGATCGGCATTCCTAAGTCTGGTGTTGTTCAACAGTGAGCTGTATTTGTTATGTAAGCCTTTGAAAAGTACAGGTATTTTTCCCTCTAAGACATCAGGAAATAATCTTTTATCGAGGTACAGCTAGAGCTTACCTTGAAAATTTCTCCGTTCTTTCATTCAATACACTGAGTGCCTACTATGTGTAGTCACCAAGGTAGGCATTGGCTGCATGGAGGTCCCTGCCCTCGGGATGCTTACAGTCTTGCATGAGTTTATAATCTAATGTTTTCAGTGATAGTTAGGAAGAAAAATAAAACTACTAGATCATATTTTGTAATTGGTTTAGTGACTTTCAAAACACTCCCATATTTAAATCGGTGTATTTTTTACTTGCAGTAGTTCAAAGTTTTGAAAAAAAAATTATTCATTCTGTGTTGAACCCAATTCTTCATCCTTAAGTCATATTTATAGAAGTCATCATGCTCTCTTTTGGTTATTTTATAGGTATCGTTAACATTATTTTTTCTTGGGGACTTCTTCCTTTTGAATGTCTGATCAAACAGTGGCACTGGACATAAGAGTTAGAAGCATGAGTCCTCCATGGGTTGTGATTTTTCTATCACAAAACCCAAAAAACTGATAAACTGCCAGAACTAATGAGAGTTCACTGGGGTGGCAGGTTATAAAATAAATATATAGGTATCAATAGCTTCCTTTCATACACAGAATCAGTTAGAATATATGATGGAAAAACCCCTTTTCACAATAGCAACTCAAGTAATAAAATACCTATAAATAAAGTTACCCGGATATCTGCAAGACATGTATATAAAACACACTCCAGAATTCTATTGAGGGGTATAAACGAAGACTTGAAAAATGGAGAGATATACAAAGTTCCTGAATGAGAAAGCTCAATATGATAAAGATATAAATCTGCCTAAATTAATCTGTATATTTGATATTTCCAATAAAAATTTCAGTAAGTTATATTGTTGGGACTTGAAAACTGATTCTAGAGTTCTTCCTTAAGAATAAACAGGTGACAATAGCCATAAAATTCTGGAAAAAGGGGTGATGATGGAGTATTTGCCTTACTGGGTTAGGTTTTTAATATTATAAAGCTTCAATAGTCATCAAGTAGTGTAGTGAAAATGCCTGATAAACAGATCAATGGAAGAGATTGGAAAAAACAAAAAATACCCAAGATTATCATTAAGATAAAGGTGTTTCATACCAGTGTTCTGTATGGACTATTAAGAAAATGGTAGCAGAACAGTAAGTTACTTTTTGGGAAAAAAAAGTTAACACCAAATGTGGAAACCATAAAGCAAAGATTGAGAGATTTAATGAAAGAGTTCTTACAAATCCATAAAAGGGGTAAACAATTCATGAGAAAAATGGGCATAGGGCAAGTGTGGGCAAATTTAAAAACAAATACAGGGGGCACCTGGGTGCCTCAGTGGGCTCAGGTCTTGATCTCATGGTTTGTGAGTTGGAGTCCCTCATTAGGCTCTGTGCTGATGGTGTGGAGCCTACTTGGGTTTCTCTCTCTCTCTCTCTCTCTCTCTCTCTCTCTCTCTCTCTCTCTCCTCTCTCTCCCCCCATTTCCCCCCTCAAAATAAATAAATAAACTTAAAAAACTCACTGTTAAAAAAAAGCAGAAATACAAGTAAGTGGTCATTAAACATGAAAAAGTAGTTGATTTCACTACTAATCAAGGAAATGTAAATGAAATACAGACATACTGGCTTTGATACTCTATTGGCTTGTTAAAGATCAAAGAGTGATAATATCCAGTGATGGTCTGGGTGTGGATTTAAGCTGCTATTAGTTTTCTGGAGAGAAATTTGGCAGTAGGAGAGAAATGTCTTTTTTTTTTTTATCACCTTCAATCCAGGACTTCCTCTTCTAGAGTAACAAATGAATGAGAACTTTCACAGAATTATGGCTTATAATTGCAAATAAATAAGTAAAATGGAAGCAATTTAAATGTTAAGGTAGGGGATTGGCTAAATAAATTACGCATTTTCATATAGTGAAATATCACAGTCATTAAAATTCTGTTGTAGTTGCACATTTATAATATAGAGAGGCATTTATTTTATGTTAGTTAATTACGAAAGCAAGCTACAAAACAGTATGTGTAGTATAATTCATTTTGGTGTATGTATATGAATGTGTATATATTTATATTTTTATGCACACACATATTTGCATAGGAAAAAGTCTGGAAAGAGACATATGAAAATCCTAAGTAGATTCTGGTTGACTTGAAATTTTTTCCCTTTTGTTATTTGGATGTCTCATTTCTGTCTGTATTCCTAACTATTTGTATAATTAGAAAGATTTAGAAAGAGCAAGGACTCTTGGAGTCAGAGAAACCATGCTCCCAGCCTCAGCCCCTCACCTCTTGGCTGCAGACTGTTGGCATGTGGCTTAATTCCTCTAAGCCTCAGTTTCCATCTGAGGACAGGGGACCTCCTTCATGGCATTATGGTGAAGATCATGTAACCCTCAATAAATAGTAGTTTTATAGCTGCAGATAAATCTATAAAGCAGTTTCTCTGTTACATTGGCTTTGGCAGATTCTTTCTTAGGTTGGCTTCATATTTCTTCTTCTTCTTCTCCTTGGTCATTTAGAGGTGGAGACTTCAAAGAAACAAGCAGAACTTGATAAGAAAGCAATGGATGAGCTTCTGAGAGAAAGGGACATATTAAATAAGGTGAGTTTGTTTTCTGTAGCACTGGTAAACAAATGTCTTTCCTTAGTGCTATGATATCTGCCTATTAGGGGATAGAAAACTCTGAGGCAAACAAAAGTAGATTAGAAATAAATAATCGTGCTCAGTTTTCTTCCAAGCTGCTGTGCACAGTCCACCATTCACTGGCTGAGAATTGAAACTGCATTATCACCAGGGAACACAAAGGGACTTGGGAATTATCATATAAACGAGGAGCGGATTTCAGAGCGCTGTGTGGATTCTGATTTTATTGCTGGTGTGTTATTTGGCATCCTAAGCAGTTGATCAAAATTTCTGAATTTAATATCTGTAATCTGCAACTTTTGCTAATCCAGAAGATACAAGTGAACGCGAATAAAATTCTAACTTTGAGGTGTTCGCTGAAAGAACAGCCGGTTGATGACAAAAACCTTCCCTGTACCTTTTCGGGATGTAGGTTTTCGGTTTTGCTTTTAGCCCTCACATCTCCTAGTCTTTGGAGCTCAATCTGGTCCAAAGCTGAGGAAGGGGTTGGGGGAGGCTTGAGGCCTGGAAAGCCTCCATTCAAGGGAGGGACCCTTACCCCCACCCCTTTCCTCTCCAAACCCTTCCAGAGGATTCCTTCCAGTGATAGTCACTCTTAGGAGATTAACTACTTTCAAGGATTTAGGGTAAATTTCTTGCTCAAGGATTTCCTCCAGGGAGAAAAAATCAAAGGGCCAGTTATAGAGGGGGGAGGCTGCTTGCAGAACAGTCTAGTCTGATGGCTTTTGTCCTAGAGAGCTTCGTCTCATCAAGTAGAAACAGCCTATATTTTTTCATTCCAACTTTTATGATTTCTTTCGATTTTTCAGAGATGAACAAATATTGACAAAATAGATCACTCTGTAAGCTTAACTGAGACTAGGGATCTCAGGAAGTAGTAGGAAATTACATATCTTTACATGATGAGCTCTCCTTAGAAAATCATTGTGGTTTTTTTTTTTTTTTTGCATAATGCTGGAAACTGTTCCTTTATTCTATAAATTTGCACATGCAAACAATGTTGTTGGATTTAGATTTGTAATTAAAATTTTTTTTTAGTTTAGAGAGAGACCA